TCCCTCCTTTCCTTCCAAGCCCCCTCACCTGCTTTCATCCGTGCAGGGAGGAGGCACATCTTCATTCCCTGGTGATCATTAGTAAGGTCTGCACTAGACCTTACTAATGATCCATCATTCGGCCGGAGCTCAGAACTGACAGAGCTCCGGCCGAAGCTGACAGGAGCAGCTCTGCAGTCTGCATCCGTTGGAGATGCAGACCGTGTAGCTGCTCTTGCAAGTCAGGTACGCGGTCCGTGACCGTGTGCCCGACTTGTCAGCTGGCAAGAGACCGCTGCCGTACAGTGAAGCTGTATGGCAGCAGCCGTTTTAAAGGGGAATCAGTGGGGGGCACACGGGGGGCAAGGAATAATCTAGGGGGGGCAATTGCCCCCCCCCCTTGCCCCCCTGTAGAGACGCCTATGCCTATGGCCAGTCCGGCCCTGATTGGAGCTGAGGGCCCCCTTCCCTGGTTAAGAAGGGAATTGCCTGATTTGACCTTTTGTTGGTATCAATAAGGTGAGCACCCCTATATCTGGTGTGGCGCACGTGGTGCATTTGGTGAAGGAACAAGAAATATTCATCATTATTGCTATTTATTTATGGACATCTTCAGAGTTATGAACATTTATAGACTTCACATATGATCCATTTACTATTCATTCACTGACATTTGTTTGAGTCACAGATTCTTTTATTGTTTTTTGTATTGCTCATTGTTGTAGATGTTAGTTATTCATTTTTCACGTATATACACTCACGTTGGGTGTACATTCCAGTGCCTTGTAGCTGTTAGCTTGCTTATTGGCGCAGTTCATTATTTATATATACAGTAAAGAGAAATCATTAAAAACACTAAAAAAGTTATTCATGCATGTTAACTGGACATTTGCATGTTATAAAGAACCCACAGTTGTTATTAGTAACTAACTACTATTACATGCATTTCCTTGTAGGAGGGCCATTTTGCAGGAGGAAACCTGGGCCATCTCAAGGCAACGATCGATAACCTGTGCTTAAAAACTCATTGATTGTAATTACATTTGAACAGTACTGGACTTTAATAAAGGCAGAGGATGGAACAATAATAATTGCAAATGAATGCGATTCCTGGTAACCAATGATATATCACTTTTCATTACATTTATAACAATGTCAGATTAGGTACAATGGGAAACAAAACATTGTCATTTATTATTTGC